GGTTTTGTGGTTTCCTGGGTTTTGCGCATGTTTCCCTTTGTAAAGGGCTGAAATCACCCTCTTTAGTTACTTGCAGGAGCTGCTTTAAGCTAAAGAATCCTAGTATTTTGAGGACTTTGGTCCCCCCTCTGCCTTCACCCTTCACACTGCTGAAATGCAGCTGCCAGTGAGAGTTTCTCCAAACCTGCGATGGGTCACTCTTCCCTGCAGAGCTGCCTCCCCTCCCACCACAAACCATGGCTGGGTTTCACAGAGTATATTTCCTGGCTTGCCTTCATGAGATCTTTGAGATCAAGAAATACTGTTAGCTGTAATACAGAGAGGATCAAAGATACAGAGGCTTATGGACAACTATGGCAGGCAGTCTCTTTGTGATATTTACCCTGAAGTCCTGTTTTAGGTTCTATAAACTTGTACAGTGGGTGAAGGAAGGAAGAAAAACTCTGCTGATTTGAAATTGCAGTGATCGGAGTAGAGGTGTGTCCCTTAGGCATGGCCTCTGTTAAGGAAACCAGTCCTGGGGAAATAGGGACAATCTGATGATGCACGTCCCAAGCTGAATAATCCTTTCTGAACTGCCCTGACTGTAAAAGGATCCAGGGTCCTGGTAGGACAACAGAGTCTGTGTTGCCTAACCTTGTTCTTAGTCTGCAGAATTTCCTATCTGTGAACACATCAGACTGCCCTACCCATTTGCCACTGCTCCTGTCATCACTCTTGAGCATGCATTGCAGCCTCCCCAGCTATTCTTTCCTTTAAATCTGCAGCCGACTCTGTTCCTAGATTCAGCTTCCAGCTCTTTACCTTGACTCTGATCCCAAGTCATGCTGCAACTTGTAACTTCAGCAATCTGTACAGTCCGTGTCAGTATATAAAGGAAAGTTGAAATGCACAAGCCTGGAATTTGAATTCCAGGACAAAGAGCAACTGATGTTGCTTTGAATCTAAGACTCTTTTCACCCACTGCTTCATTGCTTTCAAGGTTGTTCATCCTCTATGATACTTAGAAAACCAAAAACAAAAGCAAATATATGAAGACATTGGTTATTTAGTCAGTTTCTGATTTGTCCATAGAAAACTAATAAAAAGTGCTAGGAACTTTCCATTGCTCTGGAAAAGAAATGAAACACTATACCTAAGGACTGGGAATCATATTTATTCATTTACTTGCTTGCTTGGAGCTCTTCTGCATGAGGCATTCATTGAACACTCATAAACCCTCATTCAGGGAAGTGTGCAGGTCCTTTACATGATACCTTCCTAGGCCTTTCCTGTATTTTCCAGCCATATTTTCAGCTTTCTAAAAAGAGTGGAGATAATGCAATATTTTCCTGGATGACTCTATGATTTGCTATGAAAACCTTGTGTAAAGTCTAATCCTGCTGTATGCCATAGCACCATCTTGTGTTGGGTAAAGGAACGTATAGGGACATATAGGAAGGCAGAGCGGGAAACACCCAGGAGGTGGGAAAACAGGTAAAAGGCAAAGCGGGGATGGGCAGAATATAGATAAGGCTCTACTAGTCAATCCCCAGGTGCTGTGCAAAAGCCCAACGACATTTTCCAACTCTCAGTAGTTTAAATATGGCAACAACAAAAGACCTTTCCTTCCATCCTGCCTCTCCTAATTTAAACAAGCACACTTTGGGGGAAAAGATTTACCTGTGCACTTCAGCACTGGTACTCGAAATATATCTCTGCTCTGAACAGGCACCTTGTTCTACAAATCTTTGCAAGCCACTGTGTTTCACCTGGCTCCAATTCAAGGGCCGCAGGGTCCTGGTAAAGAACCCCAAAGTGCAACAGCTGGAGCCAAGACTCCTTCAAGGCATCCCCTGCCTTGGTGCGTCCACCTGGTGAGCATCACTCCCACTAGCTGCTATTATTTCTCATCCTCTTTCTCATCAGTGCATCCTTTGGCAGACTTGGTGGGCAGAGAGCCAGTAAGAAATATGCTCCTTCTTTTCTCCACTAGGGTTGTCTGGGCCAGAGCAGGAAGGAGGTGAACAAGCAGGGGACAGTGCTGAAGAGGAGCAGCAGACCCTGTCAGGTGAGTTCTTTCCAATTTTAGGGGCTATTAAACTGTTTTAAAATGGGGTATTATATTACAGATGCAACACTCTGGAGGACACTCTGCTTATGCTCAGGGAATGCATGTGTGTGTGTTGATTCATTCACATATTTCAGATCTGAGTGCTGGAATGCACAGCAAGTGTTGAGGGCAGGCTCTGGTGAGGCCAGATTAAGCTCTGTTTCTTCCTTTGTATTTTGAAGCAAATGTAAGGTTATTATTTTTAACTAGCATAGATGACTTTGGCAGCAAACCTACAGACTTTTCCTTGGAAGTAAGTTCTGTGCCAATCAGTACAGATTTTGAGTAAAAGTGCTTAGGAGCAGGCTGGTTGTCCACCTAAATCTCTTCTTTAGTGCTTCATTTCCCTCCCCCATCGCCCTCTGTTTCTGCCTAGCTTAGCTCTTTGTTTCCATACTGTCAAGTAAACCATCCTGAGATACACAGCTCCTAATAAACAAACAAGTGGCTCAATTGTTAGCGAGCAGATTAATACTAGCATTGTAAATCCATTAACAAGCTGGCCAGCCAATGAATCATTGACCTATTTCTCACAGATAATAGCTGAGCAACTGTAACTGATGACCTATAAAAGAGGCAATGTTTTTAAGAAAGATTAATCACTGCAGGAGCCAAGCCAAGACAGATTAGCCACCTCCTGGGTTTCGACCAACCAGAGAAAGAGGTTCCCCAGAATGCACTTGCTAACACTTTGTCAGCCAACTGATTCTGATTCAGGCTAAGGATTCACACCCTGTGTACACTGTGAATTTGTGCTTCATGCTCTGATAACCCAGGATATGCCTGGCATTGTTGGAGTACAAGTAATATCCATGCTACTGTTCCCGGACACCAACAGCAACTTGAGATTGGTCCTCTTTAGTGAATTGGCATGATATGCTAAACCAACCTGTGAATAAGCCGCACAGTGTGGGTTGTTCCCAAAATAAACCATAGTGCACTGAACAAATGATCAGGCTCACAATGAGTTTTTCTCCCCTTCCTTTCCCCTTGGTTCCCTTGCTGGTATCCCAGTGTCCTCATAGCAGAACCTGTCTTCGCTCCTCCTCCCAGCTCTAATTGCTACCCCTTTGCATTTGCTGCTCAGTTTTTTTAAACAGGTGACTCTGAACTGTGTCATCTGCAGGTCAGTGTACAAAACAACAACAAAAGAAAATAAATCACAGAGACATGATCATTAAAGTTTTCTGCTACTGCTGGTGCTCATTCATTGTTGGAATTGCCTTCATTTTGCACATGCTATTTCTGAGAAAGCAACTTGATATACACCAGGAGGTACAGAGCAATCCTGGCAATGAGTTTCATGAGTTTTGTTTTCCTTCGCTAAGAGGTCATGCCTTACATGAGGTGTGGCAGCCCCCAGTGCAACTGCTTTCCAGGGCGGTGGCGGAGGCATTCCACTGCCTCTGTTCCCTTTCTTCAAAACAACAAAAATCACAAAAGGATGGTAACCAAGGTGTGAAAAGGCTTGGCACTTCTTGCTAATTCAATACATATCACCACATACTGCCTCCGAAGCACCTGGCAGGATGTTATGCTTGCCCAAAGTATCACTTTTCATCACTTCTGTTTTGCTGTAAAACAAAAAGTCTCTGGCAAGTGTGTGGGACTGCTAAAAACAACCTTGCCTTTTGACATTGTGCGGAGCCTCTGGAACTCTGGAAGTGAGAGACGTTGGGTGGGGACATTCCTTCATCCGATGCACACATAGCAAATGACACAAGGGCGCAGGACTGCTTTTGTCAAGGCAGTCTGTGCAACACTGGGCTGGGAAGCTGCCTCAGGAAAAGGATGACAAGAAGTTACCTTATAAAGAGGCAGGGGATCTGGGAAAGAATTTCATTCTTTCCCAGCCCTACATGGAGATGCTGGGCACTGAACTGCGACTCTTTGCATGCAAAACATAGCCGCGACAGACAATTCACACATATCTTACAGGATTGCTGTGTGGCCTCAAGCTCAACAGTAATCTAAATAATAATAATAATAATAATAATAATAATAATAAGTCATCTGATGGGAATCTACTCTCAAATTAGTAATTTATCAATATCAGTGATTTCAGATATTCCTCCTTAATAGAAATGATGCTGGCATACCTGATTGTTTTTTGGACAAATGCAATACAAATAGGAGACCATTTTGCAATTTGCAAAAAAGGGGCCATTTAAATGCTAAATTGGTTGAAACCCCACAGTGCCATTTATATCCTTGGTGGCCTGACTCAGCCGTGCTATTATCCAGCCATTCCTGTCCTCAGCTGCACCTGCAGTGTGGGAAAATAATCCTGAGAGCGGTTGTCCAGTTCCCTGAATATGTGAAGGGTTTAAAACTCTCTAATATGCTACATAAATTCTAGGTAACACTGAACTTAGTTGAAAGTAGTTGAAGTAACGGAAGTTACTAATGAGAATGCACTCTCTGATGAGATTTTCTTGAAAATGGGATTGGGTGGGGGCATCCCAAGGTAGTATATCTGTGTTCAAGCAGCTAGAAAGGCTAACCAGCAACACCACGCGCACGCGCGCACACACACACACATGGGGGGGTGTCCTTGCCACTCACTGGGCTCATGGTGGCTGAAGATAATGAAATATGCAGTCTGACACATCTGAATGGCGGAAGGTTGGTGCATAATATCTAAAGGACCCAGAACATATCTGCCACGCTACCAAATTGGTGTGTGTGTCATGTGGTTGGGAAAGCATCCCATCTTGAAAGACCAGAGAGGATTGCAAGATTCTCACAGGCAGCTTTCACTGGTGTTCTCAGCTGAATCAGAGCTTTGAAAGCAACCTTTTGCAATCCTTGCTCTCTTGACAGGCCCAAACTGAATGACATCACTTCCTAGAAGCAATCAAACCTAGTGCATCTCCTTCAGGCATCTTACACATTTACTGCAACGGCAGGAAACAGGAAATGTGCATGTTCTGCAAAGCTGAGGAAGAAGTTAAAGAGTATTGTACCTGACCACAGAGAGTAAAATGCAGAAACCCAATTTTCTGTTGTTCTTATTTCTGTTGCCGAGCGCCTGCTTTGGTAAGTAGTAACATGCCCTTTGCATTGTTCTGAAGAACTATATAGACAAACACACTTTATGCTTCCGGCTATAGAACTGTTTTGAAGTGTCACACCCAGAAAATTTCCTCCCTGTGAAGGCAGTTTGTACAAACTTGCACTCTTTCTTTCAACTTTTATTCCCAGTGTTTGCTGGTTTTCCTTCCCATCAATCTAGTCTGAGCTTCAAACTTGAGGTGTGTTGTGATGCATATGCAGCTTTTGTTTTCTGACCCATTATGCTCCATTTTAAGATGCTTATCTTTCTTTGTAAGTCCTCTGTTGCTAAGGTTGTAACTCTGCATATCCTTACTTGGAGTAGTCCTGTTGAACTCAGCAGGAATTGTCTCTAAGTAAACATGCAAAGGAGGGAATTGGCATATTAGTATTTCACGGGCAAGTAAAATAGCACTGATTATCTGTTAACATTATAGATAGATGTATCAGTTAACTATAATGAACAAGTGACTCAGTCCCTAGAACTATCTAACATGCAACCTTGCTTTTGAAGACGGTGTAATCCAGACAGTTTCTCTTCTCTTTTTTTTCCAGAGAGACACAGTAGAAATTGTGTTTGTGTATTTACTTACCATATTAGAATAATGGTGAACATATTCTAATTTTATTTTATGTCTGATAGATTAGTGTTTCATCATACACATTTTATAGAAGAGGTTGATCATTATTTATGTTTGTTTGCACATATGAAATAATTGTCTGTAAAAGGACTTTCTAAATACATGGTGACTAAATCCAACAATTTTTCCCCAAAAGTGGGAGGGACACTTGGTTTCCTGATCTCTAGGTGCTATGAATATGAAATAATTTCCTACCAAGGTTTGTATTGCCACAAAGCTCTAAATGGGATCTATTGGTCCTTTCTTTATTCTGTTTTGCATGGCTTCAAATGTCAAACAAACTTAGCTAATCAGTGTGTTTTTGCTTATATTTTACAATCCTGTAAAAAAGAGCTTCTCTCTCCCTGCTGTTCAGCACAATCCATGTTTCCTCAAGGTAAGTGGTACTGTATTGTGTGTGGGGGGGGGTAGGGGGAGGCATTGGTGGCATTGGTACTGAAGTGGCATTGGTACTGAAGTGGGGAAAGTCAGCAAGGTCCAGAGAGCCATGTGAAATTTCTTGCTAGAGGAGAAATATATTTAAACCATCATCCATCACACAAAGGGGGATCTGGGGTGAGAGAAATTCCGGTAATCCCCTTGTCCTTGTTAGGTCATTCTCTGATGAGGAGACTATTGACCTCTGTAGAACTGGAGGACTAATTTGGTTGATCCAACTCATGGTTTCAGATGACTTTTCTGAAATTTCTGCAGACATGATTGAGGTTCCTACCAATGGCCTCGTCCAGTCTTTCCCAACATGGTGCCCTCCAGCTGGTTTGGAGCACAACTCCCGTCAGCCCTGCCCAAATGGCCAGTGGTTAGGGATCATGGGATATCACTCAATCTGTGGAACTGGAGTTGGCACAGGCGATTGATGATGATTGCTAAGCTTTTCAGGACTGTTTGGTATGTAGGCAACTGGAATACATGTAGAGAAAAACTCAGAGTAAGCATAACTCTAGTTAAGAGTCCTTTGAAAATCTACTTAGAGGTGACAATTTCAGTAAAATCCTTATTTTTTTGCAAATGTATCTATACAGTGCTGTGCAACAGAGCCTAATACCAAGGACTTCGCCTTCCTCCTCAAAGGGCTTTGGCAAAGTCCTTGGTAGCCTGCTGTGACTCCTACTGTATGCTGTGCAGATAAAACGGCCTACATCTGCTCCAATGTAGACTTCAATTTAGACAAAGAATGTAGAATGTTGCTAAAGCATTGTCAGGTCAATACAGCAAGGTCCCCCTATCCAGGCCAATTGGTTCCAAGCCTTCCTAGCAGATGCCTGGAACTGCAGATAAGAGTGAACCAGCAGATATGGGAGTCCTGTTGTACTATAAAAATGGACATGTGTATAGTAGGTGTGTCATGAGCAGAGCCAACTGGAGCTGGGGGTCAGACTAGATCAGTGATGGCAAACCTTTTAGAGACTGAGTGCCCAAACTGCAACCCAAAAGCCACTTATTAATCACAAAGTGCCAATACTGCAATAAAACCTGAATACTGAGGTTTTAGTTTAGAAAAAACAACTCACAGCCAGTCCAAGCAAATATATATAAATCCTTGGCAGCACACTGACCGGCCATGCAAAAGCTTGGATGAGTTGCGGCTTATGAGATGTGGCTCATGATGTCATTGCCTGGTGCCGCTACTCCTTTCCAAACATGCGCATGGCCCCTATGTGTGCTGTTATCCGATGCTCAGCTGCTGGGACAATGCTGGGGTGACTTGGTTCGCATGCCAAAAGAGAGGGCTCTGTGTGCCCGCTGCGGCACATGTGCCATAGGTTCGCCACCACTGGACTAGATGATCTTGGAGGCCCCTCTGACTCATTCTGTTTCTGTGTTTCTATTATTGTTCAAGAATGTGGACTGCATATCTGGAGAGATTAGGCCTCGCTCTTGTCTGCTGACCCCTTATCCATCTTGGCTGACTATGCCTAACCAGGAGAAATTGAAGAATTGAAGTATTGCAGATGGATCTGGGTGGTGATTGATGCTAGTTTGAAGGGTCTTAGCCACCCTGAGGGAAACAATCTTCTCAGGATCCCAGATAATTTCCCATGACATGAAAGGAAAACTTTCCTTTTCTTGGGAAAGGTTCAAGCAAAAGTGGTCAGTAGTCAATTCCATGCATTACTGGGTGATACTTGTTTTCTGAACTACTCCCAATCTGGTTTCCAGCCGAGTTTTGGGAGAAGGAATGTGTGGCCACCCAGATGAACAGTTTATTCAATGAAAGTAGCAGGGAGAGTCTTCGTTGATATTTTTGCCTGTGTCAATGGTTCCCATTGACCATGGCATTCTTTTGGTTTGGCTGCTCAGACTGGAGTTTGGGGGCACTGTGTTCCGGATGTTATGATCCTAAAAGGTCAGGTCCAGAAGCTGGTGCTGAAGGACTGCATTTTAGGAAGATGAAACATCAGCTGTATTTGTTTCCTGTGCTATAGAACATCTATGTGAAACTACTGAGAGAGATTGTACAGAGGTTTGCCATCAAGACGCAGAGAATATCCAGGCTCAGAGTCCTGTTGTTGTTAGTTGCAAAGTCACATCCGACCCATCGCGACCCCATGGACAACATTCCTCCAGGCTGTGCTGTCCTCCGCCATCCTCTGGAGTCCACTTAAGCTCACATTGACTGCTTCAGTGACTCCATCTAGCCACCTCATCCTCCACCGTCCCCTTCTTTTGTCGTCAATTGTTCCCAGCATTAGGGTTTTCTCCAGGGAGTCCTTCCTTCTCATCAGAGTCCTATACGGTGCTGTTTGAACTGTTCATCTCAGCACATATCAGACAGGGCCACATAAAGTATCCACATCCCACACTTTTTAGCTCTATTCCACACATAAAGCCATGCCACCAGCCAGAGTAAGTTGTAACAGTATTAACAGAATTCCACTGGTAACTAACTTATTTCTACACTAAGCTCAAAGCTCTGGTCTTAACTTTTTTAAAGCCCTCAATAACCTGCAACCTGGATATTTCAAAGGCCCAGATTCACCTACATGGACCTATCTATTACATGAGATCTGTTTCAGAAGCCTTTCTCTGGGTGCTCCTGCTTTCTGAGGTTAGGTAGATGGCTACTGGAAAGAGGACTTTGTGGCAGTGGAATCCAACATGTAGAATAGCCTCCATAGACTATTCTACTATTCTGTCCAGAAGTTAAATAACTGCCCCCCACATCCTTTATGCAGCAGGAAAAAAGTCTATCATGGCCTCCTCCACCTTTTTTGCTTCCTCTGTTATACTTGGATTTATTTATTTACTTACCATCCCTTTCATTCTTTTATCTGCTACTTTTTGTATTTTTATTGTTATTCATTTTGGGTTCTGTCAGCTAAGAAATGTTCAGCACATTGCATTAGCAAAGTAATCCAAGAAGGTGTCATCTGCAAAGAACTGTGGAGCTGTTGCATGTTGCTACCACATTCTTACAAAAGACATGGTTAATGTCTAAGCTTTTTAAAGCATTCCAAGGAAGTTCTTGTGACAGAGAACTAATGCTTATAAACAGTTCTTGCTCAAGCAAATTCCAGAAACAATGAATTTGAATATTTTAACTTTGGAATATACATTGAAGTAGAGGTGCCTCGGGTGTTGCCCAAAATGGATTTGCCGTTTAGACAGAAATAGCCTTTTGAGAATTGAAAGTAGACATCTAATTTTGAAACAGCCAGGTTGTATACTTCCCAACACATTGTTCCCCAAGCTGGTCTAGCCACTACAGTGTTTGAAAATATTCCTGGGTTGTTGGTCTTTTTGGTGCTATTGCTTACCGGAATCTGTATCAAATAGCCTATGTTTATTTCTTTTCGTCTTTTCTTCAGAATATGTGCTGCCTTATAAGGACAAGCTATGCAATGAAAGCAAACACAGTAAAAACCAATGATAAAATTCTTTATAAAATATATTACATACAGTATATGTTGTTTATAATGTTTGGCTTGGCTTATCTCCAAATACCTGACCATGATGAAGGACTAAAGACACAAGAGTTTTATACGGATATTTTAAAACCCTGAGTTATGGTTTAAAACAAAAGAACCTTTATGTGTGTTTGATTCATGTTTCACACAGTTGTTATTGTTACACTCAAAGACATTGTTTCAAGAAACTGCATATGTGTGTGCATACGCATACACATACCCCCACACACAAAACCAACTTAAGACTATGCCCTATGCAGAAGAAATACATAAAAAATAATAGTTATGATAAATAAACTTTTAAACCTCAACATTATTGAGAATTCAAATTACAGTGTTTCTCTTTTGAGGCCCAGTCAATACGCAAAGTGAGGCAGCTGTCTCAGTGGATTTTGCATGCCATGAAAAAGCACAAATTGTTAATTATTTAATAAATTCATGTTGTATTTACTGCCAGGGACAGGGTAAAGGGGATGTGAAGCAATGTATAAATTAAAAATTTAATAACAATAACAGACTTGTGAGCCATATTTTCTGTATTGTGCTTCTTAGTGATGAGACACTTCCCTCATCACCGATCTGGCTGTTTGGGCCAGATTGATCTGGCTGTTTGGGCTGCCAAGTCCAATATCTGAAGTGTGTCCTAACCTGCTGCGTGGAAATTGGTGTTGCATACCTCCAAGGGTGACAAAAGTCAGAAGAAAGCAGAATGAACTGAATCTGCAACAGATGAGCCGGAATGAGTCAAAGCCTATATGAGGGGACAGAAAGAGTTCCTTACAGTGCTGGCACTCCTGAGTGGAAAGAAAGCAGACCCAGCTAGTGGGCAGGACATGGTAGGGACAAAATTAGATTGCAGAGATGTTGACAACACTATGAAAAGAGAGCCAAGGCTTTCTCTCGCCCCTCTTGTTTCTTCTGTAGCTGCTTTATTAGAGGCAGAAGGTTCTGCCAGAACAGCTGCTCCCTGTAGTTTCAGAGAGGTTGCAAACGGCTCTCAAGGGCCCAGCTCCTCGCAGAGTCTGAACACAAGTCCTCCTGTGCCATATGGACTTCTCCTCAGTCCCATTGCAGCGGTGTGATGCTCAGCAGGGCACATGGCTCAGACCCTTGGGCAATCAGACAAGGAGGCAGAAAATAAATGAAATGGATACACTTAAGCCTAATTGGTTTAGTTCATGATACAGGCAAATCTCCAGGATTAAGATTGTAAGTTTCCCTGGGAGTAAGCCTTACTGAACACTGTGGGGCTTGCTTCTGAGTAAAATATACCTCAGGGGATTGTGCAGTAAGTGTGTTAACAACCAGAACCAGGAATCCAGCACTGGGCAAGTATGTTTGATCCTTTTTCTTTCACAAAGAGGTGACTGATTTCATTTATGATCCTAGACATTTAGACATTTTCAGATCCCTGTGTTCCTTTGGATGTGGGAGGGAGAACTCAGAAATTCTCCAGGGCATGGTATCCTGATTGTGCCAACAGAAAGGCATATTGGACTCATTGGCATGAGGCTTGCTTTGCATTAGAACTCTTCTACATAAGTTTCTTTTAAAATGGAAGAACAGTTATTCTCTTTCTAGAAAGGTTATTTCTGGCATAGCGACAAAGAAGGACTTGTGTGTCATTTCCTTTTAGAAGTGACTTGAATGGCACATACAGTATGTTATTGAAGAACCTTCCTTAGTGCTATAGGCATGCACTTATTAGGACACCAAAACCAGCCAAATATTATTTTAGAAGCAACGTGAGCAAAAGAGAGAAGTGTTTGCTTACCTCTTCCTTGCCATGTGGTACAGCCCTATCTGCCTAGCCTTCACCACTGCAGGTGGGGAACAGCAGGCTGGAATGATTTGCCATGTAAGAAACTCTTTCCACATATCTCAAACTTCTGATGCCAGAGAAAATCCCCCACTCCCCTGAGCTGTCCTTGCATCAATGAGAAAGGTCTAGCTGAAGAATGGGAACCTTCAGATATTTTCACCTACAGCTCTCAAGATCCCACACCATTGCTTCTACTGCCTATGTCTCACGAGCTTTGTAGGCCAAAACCTTTGGGAAGCACAAATTGCCCACCACTTGCCTAACCGTTATCCCAAGATGCTAGTTTTAGACCTTCCTGGATAGCACTTGATCTAAGGTTTATAGATATTCTTTTGTTTTTACTTAACTTTGTGGGGAAGCTTTGTGTTTGCGGTTCCTGTAGGGAGTTCAAGCCGGCATTCATGTCGCTGAATTTTTCAGACCCTGAGGAATCCTCTAACAAAGTGTCTATATTGCCCTTGCAGTGAAATTATTATTATTTTATGTAGCCTAGTGACCCCGTTTGACACAATGACTTCATCCTCAAATAAAGATGAAGAAAGGTACCAGCCGAGTCACGTAGGTTGCAGACTTCTGAGATCTTTTCCTATAATATTGGTATGTTGCAGCTGCCAACTGTTGCTTATTTTTATCTCTCATCCCCATCCCTCCCTTGGAGTCTGGCAGCACAACTGGGGGAATGAAACAGCTTAGACCAGAGTTATTTTGGGAGCAATTAATTTATAAAGTGTCTGAAGTATGTGCTTATCTTGAAGGCAGGAACAAATATTTACATCTCGCCAACCATAACATCAAGCTTTCGGAATGCCTTCTGAATTTGATACTTTGGAGAGAGTGATCTATTATTGCAGGCCCTTATTGGCCAATACTTGTGGGCATATACAAAATCCAGGTGACAGGTGGCATAAGGCACAACGTGAGTCTGATTGAATATGCATTAGAGTCCTTAATCTCACCTATTGCTGGGCACTGATGGTTGTGAAGAAGGCTTATTTCATTGCCTCCACTGCATCCTTCAGTAGCTGTCCAGCAGAGCTTTTTCAGCAGTATGGGGATTATTAACATCTCCATTGACAAATGTAATGGTGCAAAACTTGGAGGCCTGCTGTGGCAATTTGTATGGTATTTTGAGAATAAATTTTTTCCTCACCATGATTATCTCAGTGCTGGTGCTGTAGCTGGTCCAAATGAGGTGTCTAGTGCACAATCTTACTCAGTCTTTTGGAATAAGTGTCAGCCTCTGGTGCCTGAGGATATGCATAAGATGCTTGATGCAGTTCAGTCCACATGTCTTCTTGACCCATCCTACCACTGCTTATTTGAACTGGTTGATTGACAGGTCCAGGGTGTGATGAATGCATCTTTGCTTGAGGTGGCACTCCCTAGAGGTGGTGGTATGACCAATCCTGAAAAAACTCCCTGAATCTGGAGGATTGTACCTATTACCTGGTGGTGACTACCCCCTGTTTAGGCAAGATGCTTGAGAGGGTGCTTGTTGTGATTCTTTAGTCCTGGCCTGCCTATGCAATGGAATTGTCCTTGGTCGCCCTGATGGCATTTTTTGAAAACTTATCTGTTTGCTTTGGCTGTTCTCCAACCATGTACCATCCCTGTACCAACCACACAATATGTGTGCATGTGGGGGACTTGTTTGTTTGTGTTTTGCTTGCTTTATTCTTTTGTCAACTGCTTTGAGTTTGTTGTCAAATGAGAGGCAGAATATTCATAAATATCGCCTGCTGCTCAGTAAGATAACTTGTTTTTTCAAAGGTTCCAGGTCTCACATTTTGATAGCTTCTGTGGGCTATTTTTCACACTCTGAGACCTCTCTTTATAGAACTTTCTTAATATAGATGATGTCCTTAATAAAGAAACCACCTTATTCACACACACACATTGAAGTTCTCAAAGAGGTTTGATTTGTTCATCCTTTTGTTATAGGACTTGATGGATGGGAATAACAGAAAGGCGAATGTGTTCATTCCTATAAAGCCAGGCCCTTTCTGTACTTTCTTTGAAATGTGGCAGTGTGTGATCAGCAGAAACAGAATCAGGTTGGGCAGGTTGAGGCTGTTGCCAGTCCCCATTTTTCCATCTTCTTGCATGCATAGAGGGCTTGAGAGAGAAGCCTTCTTTTCCTTGTACAGCATATGGAAAAGGTTAGAAACAGAAGGAGTCTTTCACGCTGCTCAAAAGAGAATGCTGCTATTACTGACCAGCATTAAAAAGTGCTGTGGGAATGAGACCTGCAGTATAGGAATCTGTGTGGTGCTGTGTGTCCTGCTTGTCAGAGGGTGGGGGAATTTCCTTCAAGTCGGCTAGCTGGCAAGAGGTTCTGTAGATGCCCAAGCAGAATAGAAGTAAATGTCATGCCATTTGGGTGGAAAATATGGAAGCGATCGGCAGCAGAAGATCAGTTGCTGATAGCATGAATGAAGTCATTTTCCTAAGTGCTTTGGTACTATTGCCAACTGGATATGCAACTGAACACTCATATTTGCCGAGTGTTTGCTTTCAGGTTTACATCTCACTAGCCTTAACAAAACTCTGTGGAAAGGGTAAGCATAAATCATCATACAGCAAGAAAAGGGAGACTTGAGGAAACACTAAGCCCGTGGAAAGTCGAGTGGTTAAGGATGCTGCTTGGGTACTTTAAGTTAAAATGGTGCAGAGGGACAGCCTGTAGCCGTTGGTGGTTTGGGGGAAGCTGCCCCCTAAACTTTCCCTGCCCCAATTAATTATTGCAAACAAATAATTAAAAAGCAATTTGTAGGTTTGTCTTTAAAAGGCCTGCAAAGCAGATGGTACTTCCCCCTGGATCTTTAGGGTGGTTTTTGGCCTGGCAGGCGGGGAGGAGGAGGGTTTCCCAAGTAAAATTGACAAGCTGTAGCTCTTGTTTTTCTCCATTTGGCAGGCACAGCAACTACAACAGCAGAGGGAGAATCTTCAGGGGGTGGCCCACCATCATCTGTTCACACAGTAGCCCCAGAACCCACCATATCCACTGCATTTTGGGCAACTAGTGGCCAACACTTGCAGGATACCACTATGCTAGCAAAAACCAACAGCTCTGAAACGGGAGGCCCAACAACACCAGCAATGGCAGACCAAGGAACTGAAGATCCACACCCTGCTTTGATATATGGAATCCCCGTGGTGCTGGTGCTCATCCTTGTGATTCTGTTGGCCATCTTCATTTCACGACAATGCAAGCAAAAAGACTCCAAACAAGGTAAATACTGGTGTGAGAAAAACTGTTTTGGAACAAATGGGGGAGAGTAGACTCTCATGCTGGCAGAAGTCATGTCTGAATTGTGCCTAAGCTTTGTACAATCCTCTTGGCTTATCAGTGACTGCAGAAAGGAGGAATCGGATGGTGAAGTCTCTGAGTGGGGTGAAGAAGAGAGTGGGGAGTTGCATGCAAGTGGAAACCATGATCATTCTAGGGGTCCTGATTATGAGTGTGGGCCCTATGAACCTATAATTGATACACATAAAGCTTCTTCTTGTCTTTGGTCCGTCATGTGAAGCTCATGGGGATGGAGCAGTTAACACAGCTCCTCTCCCTGCATTCAGGGAACACATGGAGGATGAGATGGGAAGACTGTATTTTCAAGGACACAATCCTTTGTATGTCTTAATAGGAAAAGGCCCTGCAATTCCCAGCATGCTGAACATGCATAAGATTGCTCCCTAAACCCTCTCTGTTTTCTATGTTCTCAAAATAGTAGATGCTTTCTTGTAGATCCTTGATAATGGTCCTGCTTCATGATCATGAAACATCTTGTCCTTCAGCATATATTGGGACCACATGTCTATGGCCACCAACTTAGTTGCCTTAAAAATGTGATGAGATTAATTGATGGAAAATAAGGCTACCATTGGTTAGTCATGATGACTGCATATTGCCTTCTGTGTCAGAAACAGTATGCCTCTGTGTTTCCTGAATTATATATCAGGGTAGGTATTGTTTCATTCATGTCCTGATTCTGGACTACCCATGGGCATCTAAATTCTGGACAAAGCAGGCCTTTGGTTTGATTTAGTGTGGCTCTTCTTATTTTCTTACCTAACATGCTGAGCATGTGCCAGAAACTAAGTATTTGCCTGAATTCCCCCACATCATTGTTCAGCCAAACATGAGTCCTGGGAATATAAGAAATCCCTAACCTGGCCTGCATGTGCTCAGTGTCCACTGTTTCTCTCTCATGTCCAAAACACCTATAATCAGTGTAACTGATCTTTCATCATTCTCTTAAGAATATTGGGCCACAGATAATTTACTCTGGCCATTTTTCATGATTTGGGCTCCCATCTCCGAAGTAGGGAAGCCATGGTTCTGCAGACATTGTGGGACTCCAGCTCCCCTCCAGTCCAGCCGACATAACAGATGGTTAAGGATTATGGAAGCGGGAGTCCAACATCACTTTCCCCTCTCCACTTCTCCTTACTAAGGATTCGTTAGAGGCCACACAGGGGGTGATTTTTCAGGGAGAATTGTCTCTCTGGGAGAGAGGGTCAACCCCACCCCCCACTAAGAGCACTCCCAAGCCCTCTCTATGACAATTAGACTTTGAGGAAAAGTAAACATCGGCACCAGTAGAAGGACTTTTTCATAGCTGAAGTGCATGGGGAGGGGACAATTTTCCTCCAAGAGGGAAAGAGGAAGAGAGGGTGCTAATTAATTGTAATGGAAGAAGAACTGCTGAATTTGGATCATCTGGTTAAAGATGCATGTTTGAAAAAATCATTCAAGGTGATTTGGATTGTAAGATATAAAAAAATCCAGTAGAATCCAAGCAGTGACGATACGGGAGGCAAAGTAACAAGCAGAGAAGTTTAATTTGTTCTTGCAAGAGCGGGCGCCCACCACACAGGTAGTGCGCTGTTCACACGCACAACATTCAGTTTTATCCCTTTTCCTGGTCGCGTTGGCTGGGCTACTCAGAGGGCACAATCTTCTCCGTCCGCCTACATCATACTACCCCTTGATATGACCCCCCCCCTTGCACATACAACCCATGTTCATGCTAATGAGCCTATTACCTATGAGAGGTGTGTCAGTTACTATTCATGAACCTATTAAGCCTGCGCACTATTTTCTAAAAGTTCAACAAGGCAAAGTGGCCTTGAGAATTCTTCTTGGACGCCAAATTGCTTCTCAAATCAAAATGGGGAGGATGAGATAATGAGAACAGGCCTCTCTTCAGACTCTTTACTGCCAGTTATAAAGTAATCCATTATCTGCTCTCTTCCACTGAGGGTGACAGTTTTACCACTGTCCCCTATTTTTTACCCTCTCTGGTATTTTTCAGGACTTTGATGTAAAAAGCAGTGCCTCCCTTAGTACAATTGTTTACATGATTCGATTCTCAGGCTTTTTGCCCTTAAGAGACTTCAATTAACCCTGTATTTCACTCTTTCTTTGGTATTGTCTTAACACTTAGTAACATTTCCTTTCTCACAGGATGATACATGAATTGGCTGGCTTTTTGTTCTACAAACTACATTGTAGAAATTATGGGTTTGCTTACATAGATATCAATTAGCATATGCAAATATGGCATAGATTTGTAGACCTGGCCCTTGAACCTTTTGCCTAATAATCCCTCTACTGAGAGTTGTAAACTCACTTGCCCTGGGCCAGTGGCTTGTCCCTTTCGGAAGCCAGCAATCTAGGCAGTGGGTTGTGCTGTTCAGGAGGATCTGTGGGAATTTGGAGGAGTTGCATAGAGTCAGGGTCTCATGTGATCTCCACACAGGGCTGTGTGTGGTTCTGCAACTCCAGGATGTCTTCCTGAGTCCCATCATACTTTGTGAACTTTTGCTTCAGTTCAGGACAGGACAAGCATTGCAGAATTTCTGAGATCTGAGAGTGGGCAGTGCATGTTGTTATTGATTTTTGTAAGCCATTTATTAGGCTTTTATCTTGTGAACCATTTTGGGATTTTTATGTTTTTAAAAAGTGATATATAAATTTATTGAAACAATCCAAGGGTTGTGGCATGGGAACAGAATAGGAATGGTTAGATTAATATACAGCCTGTAGAATACCTGAGCATTCTTGGTGGAACTTTCAGCTAGGTTCGAGGCCTTGTGGACAAGATGTATTTCAAGTCTCAGATGTTGACGCTGGGAAAAGACACATTGACACACTTGTTTAAACAATAATTTAAAAATCACCTCATTCTTTCCTCCTATACCCTGTTCAAGAAAAGCACACATTTCCCTTCTATTGTTCTGAGACAGTTACCTGCTTTAATACCACATCCTAACCACCAATGGATGTGGTTTTCTGCCTTTATCCCATCTAGCTTTTCATCCACCTATGTCTCTCTTAGCAATTATTCTCTACTCCTTTTCCTTTGTCACTCTGATTTCAAATGCTTTCTAATCCTCTACAGATCTCTATGTTACTGCGCATTTTTAAAATCTTGCCCCTTATCTATAACTTCCTACAGCCTCTGTTCATAAAGCAGATACGCTGCACATGGGCAGCATTAGGCTGGGTTGAGGTAAACAATTTTTATAGCAGTTGTTGACTTCTCATTATGTTGCTTTCACTGTTGGAACCGGTTATCCTCAAGGAATTCATTGCTTCCAGTCTGTGCTCTGCTAGACTACGGTCAGAATATTAATGTACCTAAATGGCTTCTTCAGCAACTAATTTCTACTTGAGCTTAAAAATCCTTTTTAATTGCCTGTCGCTATCTTGCTTCTAGTTCATATGCCCATTTCCCCCCTTTTATTACCATGTATTTAATAATAATCCATAAAGATAAGAGATTTAATCCTGGCAATTGTTCCAAAATGTGAGGCGTGATCCAGCTGAGCATTGGTGCAGTGCTTGTGAGCAGAAGACATCCCACAGGACTGAGTAGGTCTGACACCCACAATGTGGGTACATGGCTATGCACCAGGGCACAGCATGCATTCACCTGCAGGAAATGGGAAATCCACAAGTGACTCCCATCTGGCCCTCTTCTCTGCACAGTGCAAGTAATTTGTGTTCTGCAAACAATAATGTGCAAAGCAGAGGAAACAAGGGTGGAATGGAGCTCTAGGAAGGATACACAAATCTTACCTTCCTGGGCAATGCAGCTTCAACACACCTGTGCGCATGCCCATGTTCTCGTGTCAGTCAAGAGATGGGGAAAAAAAGCCTGTGAAACTGCTTGGAATGTGAATGCAACATCCATACTCAGTCCCACCATTATTATTTGGTGAGATGTTCCTTAGGGTTACACAAAGTCTATGATGGTTAGGCAATACATTTTAAAAGATGAACCACAATTTCACAAGCATGCAAGCTTTTGCATTCTCCAGAAGATGACTGGGTGGTACAAAAGGGCAGGGGACAGGAGATGAAACTGAGAAATGCTTACCACTAATTTGGGCTGCAAATCTACATTTTGGGGCTGCATCTACCTAAACATACATGGCTTGAGACCAAACTAGCTAAAAGAGCACCTCCTTCAATATAAGCTTGTCTCGGTCTTAAGATCTTTGAGAGAATCCCCCTTTTCATTTTGATCTGTACCTGTTCGAAGGTTTGGTGGTGATGTGAAAGAGGGCCTTATTGGTGGTGACTCCTATGCTGTGAACACAAATCAGATCAATAAGCTGCAGTCTTCATGGCCACAACATTGGATCATATTTGTTTGGATTGCCCCCCCCATCTGCTTTCTGTATTGTCTAACAGAATTCTGGAGAATTCAGAGCTTGCACATTTTTGTGGAATTTTGATAGGATTCATAAAAGTATTGCCCAGCTGTGGACTTTCTTCTCTGTTGTGGACCAGTTCAGCCTCACTCTATGTATGAATCATGAAGATTCCGAAATGGTGGGTCACATAGGTCATATTAGGACAGTTGCCACACTGCTTTGCTGGGGCGGGGCGGGGGGGAGTGGTTTTTCCACCACTGCTTTTCCAAAGGGGAACGCCTGGAGGGGGAAAATACATGCTGCCTTGAGGCTTTTCTGCTTGTTTCCAGTTGATTCCAGACTGAAGAGAAGAAAGCTGAAGATACAGGTGTGCTGTCTTCTAGTGTGCTGTATGCTGTTGAGAGCTTAGAATGAACTATTTAGCTGTATCTGTTTATATCCCATCTTACTTTTTCCTAAAATGCATTTTTTTTCTATTTAAGATGAACTAGGAAGCGAAAACTGTAAAAGGTAAGAGATCTACAGATACTGCTTTTTGTTATTTGATGGGTGATTTCTGGCTTTAATTTGTTGAGCCTTTCTTATGGCTGAGAGCCACATAGACTCCAAAATGGCAAGATTATGAATTGCCCCATCCTAGAGCAGGGGGTGGAGGGAAGGTTGTGTTATTATATCAGTAATTCCCACATAGTATAATATTTCGTTCTCCAGATTATTGCTTGATCTGGATTGAGGCGCATTTGCAGCAGCTGAGAGTGAAAGAGAGGAGGTTGTGGTGTTGGCTAGCAGGATGCAAGTCTTCTTTTCCTCAGTTGCCAAGTATCTTGTGACCTTCCTGGGTGTGTGGAAAGGACTGGTGTGAGTGGGGATCAGGTGGGAGCAGAGAGACTACAGAACCAAAGAGTTCTGGAAGAGCTGCAGGTACCTTGTCTCCCATTCTGCTGGGAGATTTAAAAGCAAACCAGGCATCCACCTAGGTTAGCACTGTCAACACTGACCAGCAGTGGCTCTCCAGCATTTCCGGCTGGAGTTCTTACTCATCAGGACTGAACCTGGGACTGTGTGCATGCAAAGCAGGGGCCCTCTCACTGATGGACAGTAGTAACCTTCGGTTTTTCAGGAGTGAGGGCAATTAGGGTTGAGGGAAGGTCACCTTTCAGCTGATCTCAAGAGCTGACAGAGTGACCCCATAGCCAAAGTGATGGCGTAATTTTGCACTGGCAAGGGCTTCTCTCCACTTGGAGGCTAACTGGGCAGAAATGTACATTTCTGCCCTAGGATGCTGCTTTAGGGGTTAGCAGGAACTTGCAACATCTCATGGCTAAATCAAAGGACACAGTCAAACTTAAGTGCCTGTTTGGGAATATTCATTGGTCCAATTGTTTTTGCATAATGGATGGTGCCCTTTTCTAAAGTAAACTCACTGACAGCTAAAGCTTTAGAGGCAGACACCATAAAACACACTTTGAAAATATCTGTCTGAATGCAAAGAATTCTAAATGGCATGGTCCAAACAAATGTTGTCTTTTCTTATTCAGTCCTATTTTTGAAGAAGACACACCCTCTGTTATGGAAATAGAGATGGAAGAGCTTGATAAATGGATGAATAGCTTAAAACAAAATGGTATGCATGTATCCCATCCTACTATTAGAACTTATTCTTTTTAATGTGTCCTCCTCCATTTCTCATCCCCTCGCTTGTCTTGGCTAAATGTTCTAAAATATATATTTTACCAATAATCAGAAATGGTAGCAGGAGCACATATGAAGGAAAGAATTTGTCTTAATATATTTTGTGGGCTCTTTGTTTTGAACAAAAGTTAATCAACAAAGGGGTCCATTTTTATGATAATTCTATTTTGAAAATATAAATGTTTGTGATACGTTAGAGCCACTTACTTGGGAGGAAACCCTACTGAATTCAATGGAACCTATGTACTTCTGCATAGATGTATATGGGAGTACCCTGGAAGTGTGCCAGGTGTCTGGTGGGCGTTTTCATATTTTGTGGTGAGGTGGGGGAGCAGGCAGGGCAGAAGCAGCATTTTTTTTTTTTTTTTTTTTGTAATATACTTTACTGTGATTGATTTGCGGCTGCTCCTGCTTTTTCTGCAGAGCTGCCTCTGGGATCATCTGAAAGGCATGTTGCTATGACCACATCATTCCCTTCCTGCAGTTGTCTTAGGCTGGCTAGCTACCCTCTGTAACCTGGAATGAAATCATTGTTTCCTTCTTAAACAGATGGCTAGTTGCAATGATTGTCCAATCTGGAAGAGAATGGAGCACATCCAATTATTCTTATAGCTGTGTCTCCTGGACCCCTTTTCCAATCTGCGTGCTTCTTTGCCTTGTTCACTGTATAGTAAATCAAGCTTCTTGGCACAGACACTGTGGTATCAGTCTGTATGAACTGGCCACAAATTGTTTGGCCTTTGGAAAAAGAAATGGGTTGAAAAATACGCAGAAATCAAGAAATCCATGCTGGGATTGCTTATAAAATTATCATGATCTAGCGCAGGAGAGGTCAGACTGCAGACTTGGTAGATTTCTTTTGTGTATAGTAGATCCCCTGGAAGGCATCCACCAGAACTTGATAAAAAATGGTGGTTCAGGCAGGTGGGGGCACGCTACAAGTTGGGGGACGGAGTATTCAGTCCAGGCGATCCTGATCACAACTAAAAGTCAGATCATAAGTCCTTTCATACAAAAATCCACTCCTGGGTTTTTCCCACTCCCTTCATGTTGGGCCAGCATGCTTTCATTGTTGTATACCTGGGAGTCAGAAATCCTTGCCAAATCTTATTATTTATACCTCATTCAGTTTTTTTTCCTGTATTTTGCTCTGGAGAAGGTTTGCCTGAGCATTGATCACTTTTCTCTTCACTCTCAACTGCAGGGGTGTTGAACTTCAGGCCTGTAGGCCAAATCCTACCTGTCTGAGGTTCCTCTGGCCTTCCAGAGTTCCTGGAGGACCAGTCCCTCTTTTCCTAGCCATTAATTGCTTGTTGGTTTCCTGACTTTTTCAGAGTTCCTTCCTCAGTCTGAAAGGTTGATTATCCTTTCTTAAAGCAGTAAGAGCTTTAAACCAAATATCCTAGTATTTTCAATACCTCAGTACCACTGCTGTTGCCTTTGGCCCCACTCCCTTTCCTTCTTTCCTGCCCATGGCTGGGATGTGGCCCCCACAAGCTTCTCCAAAATGGAATTTGGCCCTTGGGCTGCAAATGCGCTACTGCTCTTCCTTTGCACAGATACACAATGCTATGCAAATCTGGTACACAAATTAATGGCAGTATTAAGAGCCTTCATGCTTATAGTCTGCCTATCAGCAGCAGTGTGGGCAGGAGAATTTAATGATATGACCATATCAGTTCTCCTTAGTGGCACCTGTGATTAACTCATTTTGAATTATCATTCCATAGGTCTGGCACACCACCTTTCTATCTACCACAGCAAGTTGCAGTGAACCCATCATCCCAATCCAACAAAGACCCAGAGCTGTTATTGAGCTTTGGTGCTGGGCACTGACCTTGCCAGTGGTCTTCAAAGTGGGCATGTCACACCAACGTGACTCTACTTGAAGGGTGCTACCCAGCAACAGTGTTGAAAGGATAACAACACACTAATCTGCCAGCTGGAGTAATCTAGCAGAATAGAGATGTGGTAATAAACAATTGTATGATGGCTAGGTTATTATTATCCTTTTATTTTTAGCTTCTGACAAAGGCAACATGCTAGAGATGGGCACTGGGTGTGCGTGTGTGTCTTGTCTGTCTCTCTTGTTCTCTCTGTATGTGAGTGTATCTGTGCACACACATTCAGAGAGAGAAAGAAAGAAAGAGATACAGATATGCATTGAAATAAATAAAGCTAAGATTGCTATGGTTTTTAACACATTTATAAAGGCTCTTAAATGGAATAATGGCTGCAGACATAAAATTACAAATGAAAAACAATCTCCATGACCTGTTGGAGTCCACCATGCAGTCACTGCTATTCTGAACACACGTTTCAAAAATTCCCAAAGCTAATTTTTTCACTGCTCTGATCTTTTCTTAGCTGAATGTGAATATTTGCCTCCTGTGAAAGAAGAAAAAGACTACAACACTAACCCAAGGTACATATAATTCTCCAAATGTACTTTTGAAAGGGCCACTGTCAAGGGTAATAGATCAAAAACTGAATCTCCTCGTCCTCATCATCTTCAGATGACCCTGGAATTTATGTTTCTTATTCTGTATAGGTTTACTAGTGTGTTACTAGTGTGTGATTTTATTAATCTCTTTGGAACTTCATTTTGAGAGCATTTAATATCTTCTCGGAAAAGAGTATTCCTTAATCCTCAGGCTCTTCCAAGTTAGGATTTTTGTCACACTATGGCTGTGCTTCTTCCACATGACATTAGCATGTGTGTCTGTACTTAGGACATCATTGCCTGGCATTCATTACCCTCCCACATTTTCAACTGCTTCTTCTATCTTTTCTCCTCTTGCAGAAAATCTCTTAAGGAAACCACGAATGAATAGCTGCACAATGTTTTCGAACTGCTAGCACTAGGAGCCCTATGTCTGGAAGCACCCCTCGTGCCTTTCTGCTGAGCTCACTGGCTTGACACATGAGTGACTGTTATAATAAATAAGCTAACAGCCCCATGCTATGCAAGTCTAATGAGAAGCAAGCCTCACTGAGTTCAATAAAGCTTACTCCCAGATAGGTGTAGGATTGCATGATTAGAATCCCGTGCATGATTAGATTCCCAGCATCCTGGGAATTGTAGGATTGTTTTCAGCCCAAACATGCACAGAATCATGCCCTAAAATTAGGCCAGCCTTTCCCAAATTGTAGCCATCAAGATATTTTGCAATATGCATCTTACCTATCCCAGCCAGTGTGGATAATGATTGATTGACTGATATAGCTCCCAATAGCTGAGGCTCTCTACGTGGTTAACAAAATTGATGGGAATTGTAGTCCAAGACATCCAGAGGGATCCGGTTGGGCCTTTGAACTCCCCACTCCCACTTCAAACACTTGTGAAGTCTATCCTTGACCAATACACCTTTCACAAGCAACAAATCCTTAGGTGAAGATGGGTAAAAGGTTGATATTTGACTGCATCCTCCTTACTGCATTTTAAAGCTGCAGTATTTCCGAATACCAGGCAAAATGTCACTCCTGAGTGTCTGCTGTGTAGATAGAAGGGCAAAGTGGGGGAAATCGAGGGAGGGGGGAGAATGGTTGTTACCACTAGGTGGCTCTACATTATTATGAATGCAGACTATTGTGTGTCTTGTGTCCAGCATTTCTTACAACTAATTGAAATTATATATGCTTTGCAAAGGTGAAAGGCACAGAGGGTTTCAGATGAAAGCACACATTCCTGAGAGAATAGCAGCACGAGATGCAAAAGCAACGGTCTCTCATGCTGTTTCTTAGGAGGCACTTCTTTGGCCATATGTTAGAGTGTCACACCACTAAATTTCAGAAGGAGCAGACATTTTCTTTCATAGGAAGGTGTAACTGGAGTGTCCAGTTAGTACAGGTTGAGGAAGAGGTAACTCCTCAGGCAAGTGTTTTCAGACTGTTAAAGCTAGGCTCTAATTGTTTTGCTGGGCTGGTGGGAATGGATCTTTAGAGTGCAGTGGTTTTATTTTGGTTTGGGAGTTCTACTCTGTTTTTTTGAACTAGAATGCTGAGGTTTACTATTAGAGCCCAGATATGGACTATTGTAGAGACATATAAAAGCAATAAATAAATAAACAGAGCCAGCTGTAAAATAGTGGATCAGAGGAGCAAAGTCACAAGTAAAAAGATGATGGCTAGGGAGTTTCAAGCTACTTACCCCATTAGTCATACATTAGGATAACCTGCAACTGAAAATCTGAACTCAATTTTTAGTAATTTTTAGTTCACATTACTATAACTCAAGGATGTAAGTCAAACACTCTAAAACTCGCCAGCAAAGCTGCACAAAAGCCTGATCTAATGCAACCAGTTTAAAAATATACATATTTTCCAGGTAAGGAATACTAAGGATAAGGAATTAACTTAATGTCAGCCATAAAAAATCTTTGCAGGCATAAATCCATTTTATAGCTGGGGAATACTCAGGCAAAGAGATATACATTTTGCTTATTGTTTTCCATCAACCTTTTGTGTCAACAGCCTAATTTTGGGTGGAGGGGAAAACCTTTCCACTGTGGATGAGTCAGTGGGTTGGAACTGCTTGCTAATCCACTGCAAACCATTCACTGATCTGCCAGTAGATGCCAACCTATATTCTGCTGGGCCATTTCCACCACCAACATTCGAATATGGAGCTGAATCCATATAGTAGAATCTTGAGAATGTCCTGTAAAAAGCTTTTGTAGCCTCTGAGGCTGTGGAACAAGTTTTTCAAAAATAATTCACTTTCAGGTTGCTGATGGGTGTCGTCAGCTAGGTGTTCCTTCCCCAGACTCTCCAGCACTTCTTGTAAATGTATTTATTTATTTAGAGTTTTTGTATGCCGTCCCATCTCTTATAGCCTTGGGACGGCTCACATAAATAAACATAGTACAAAATACAATTAAAAACCGGAAACACCCTGGCTGCACAATTAAAACCTACAGATATTAAACATTATTAAAATATTTTTTAAATAAAAAGGTATTAGCCTGGTGCCGAAAAACAAATAATAACGGTGCCAGGCAGACCTCTCTGGGGAGCGCATTCCACAGATGGGGCGCCACTGCAGAGAAAGCCCTCCTCTGGGTACTTTGCCTCCTGATGTCTCTTCCGGAGGGCTCCCGGAGGAGGGCCTCTGCTGCTGATCTCAAGGGGCAGGAGGGCAAATAAGGAAGCAGGCGTTCTTTTAGGTATCCAGGTCCCAAGCTGTTAAGGGCTTTGTAGGTGATAACCAGCACCTTGAATTGAGCCCGGACTTCGATGGGGAGCCAGTGAAGCTGGTAGAGGACTGGGGTTATGTGAGAGTAACACCCAGTCCCCGTCAGCAACCTGGCTGCTCTGTTTTGCACCATCTGAAGTATCCAGACTGCCTTCAAGGGCAGCCCCACATAGAGTGTTACAGTAGTCCAATTGGGAAGTAACCAATACATGTGTCACTGTCGCTAGGCAGTCGATCTCCAGGTAGGGACGCAGCTGATGGATTAGCCGAAGCTGAAGGAAAGCGCTCCTCGCCACCACTATCACTTGGGCTTCCAAAGAAAGCTCTGGGTCGAGGAGCACTCCCAAGCTGTGGACTCTGTCCTTTAGAGGGAGTGCAACCCCATTCAGGACAAGGTCCAAGTCACCTACTCCGGAGCCCAAGCCACCCACCAACAGGACCTCTGTCTTGCCTGGATTGAGCTTCAGTTTATTGGCCCTCATCCAGCCCATTACCTATTCTACACAGAAGTCTTTAAGCACGCATAAGTCTCTGAGCATACACAAAGTGAGATGCTGAACCCTCTCTGCCCCCCCTTTACCCAAAGCTTTACTTATGAACCCTTCTGGTCCTGTCTCAGGAAGGAGGGGTGCTGTGGAACCAGGTGTACCTGCACTCTGAGCTCCTTATTGGGCCAGCCTGTGGTTGTGATGACAGGCCCCCGGGTCCATCTCCTCAGGAGGCTGGCATCCTCAATCTGAGGGACTACCCATTTCCAAATCTCCTCTTTCAGGATGTGCTTGTCCTTCTTCTTCTTCATTCCCACCATCAGGGGGACTGGGCCCCATGGCTGTCCTTGAACTACTTACACCCAGAGCAGGCTCAGACCGGTACTAAGAAACTGGGGCTGCAGGTGCAGGCCTGTCCATTACAACAATAATTCCGTTATCAGAGTTTGAGCTTTGAGCCCTGTCAGCCAACTTCACATCGTGCTCAGACGCTGAGCTATCAGTTCCACCAAGACGGTCAGCTTCTCCTGTGTGCCTGGGAATCTTGCCAGAGTGCGTGCACATGCTGGCTTGGATTAGAATCACAGAATAATAGAGCTTGATGGGGCTTGTACGGCCTTCAGGGCCAACCCCCTGCTCAGTGCAGGACTGCAAGTTAAAGCTTTCCTGACCTATGGCTGTCCAACTGCCTCTTGAGTGTCTCCGCTGTGGGAGAATGCACCACCTCCCTAGGTAGTTGGTTCCACTGCTATACTGCTCTAACAGTCAGGAAGCAACTTAAGCCCATTGTTCTGGCTTCCTGTAATTTGAGCCCATTGTTCTGTGTCCTGCATACTGGGATGATTGAGAAGAGATCCTGGCCCTCCTCCTCATTGTTGTCAGAAAAGAGACAGTAATAGACAGCCAAAACCAAAGGCCAGGTGGATGGAACAGAAAGCAGCATGTGTTAACAGAAATCAAGGAGAGGGTGAAATTCAGGAAAGCTACCAATCACTGCTCAAGTGAGCACAAGATATCAGCAGCTCTCATAGCAATGCATTCTTGAAGGAAATAGCAGTCCCGTGCCATTGCAGCCCAGAACTCAAGAGACATAGACTTATTAGGGGGCTTGTGAGTTTTGAGTTGGTCCTCAATCAGTCTTAATTGGCTCTGGTTGCTGGCAAAACTGGAAAAGGGGAGAAAACTGGAGAAAACAGATTATCTCACTGTGCCAATGTGAATTGCTTTTGGAAAGTGTAAGTATACAAGATTTCCCCATTCAGTCTTGCATTAATTGCAAAACTTGCCACCATTTGCAGATTATGAAGGCTCTTTTCATACAAGAGTAGGTTTTGCGTAACTCAAACAGTTGTATACATTTACCTCAATGGGGGTTCATCCCATAATACTCTGTCTTTCTCAGTTGTATGGCATTGGACCTGTCTAGATCAAGAACTGACCACAAAGCAGAAATAATTAGCTGAGTGTATTACAAAAACAGAGTGCTCAAGTGTTGAGATGCAAGTTAATTCTTTTATTAAATGTTTACACAGTGATGGCGAATCTTGAAGTCAGGATGGTGTTATATGGATTAAGGAAGAGACACACAGACCTTCCAGTTCATGAGAAGCTAGGAAAGCTGAATATGAATCTCCTTCGCCTCAAAAAGCCAAGGGTACTAGTGTCATTGTCCTTTCCTGCCAGTTTTCTTCTATGTAATGACAACATCAACTCTGCAAAACAAAGGTCCTGAAATTAATTGTTACTGCTGAGAAATTCAGAAGGAGTGAGTGGGAAGAGAGCAGAGCAATCCTTTTCCAGCTATTTCTCATTGCAATTCATTTGTTCCTTTGATCAACACACATGCATGGGATATTTTGCACATTTGTCCATTACACAAATGTTTATAAGCACAAAGGTCAATGTGCTTTTGAATCTGAATTTCTTTTCTGTGTTTAAATCTCAGCTCTGAAATGCAATTTATGTCAGTGAAATTTAATTTTTTCCCTTGGTAATGATGGTGATTCTTCACACAGATTTCTACTGATGATAGCAGCAGAATTCACAATGGTTCTACAAGCCAACGTCACACAAATAGCATTTCAAACAACCAGGGGCAGCCAGAGGATATAGAACAGGTAGATAACCATGAGAGTCTGCAGTGCTGCTACTGTGTTTATGTGGATAGCATCATTATATAGTTTAAGCACTAGATAGGACTGGACTTAGTTGTATCTGGGTGGAATCCAAATTTCCCACTTGTGCTGTTCTGTTCTTATTAAGGGAGAGACAGCAAAGTCTTTGTCTACCTACATGATCACCATCTCTTTTCCGTCTTCCATGAGCTAAAATTCTGTGTGGACTTCACAGGGCCCAAGTTCCTGTGGCAAGTTTGCCTCTAGATGTAGAAATCAGCACGTGCAAACTTGTGTAAATCCTTGCCCTCTTCCTGGGTGATGTGTTTCCGTTTTTTGGCCACTCTGCTGGAGGGCCACGCGATACCCATTCCTACCCACATGGGGCCAAGGCTTTCATTATTTGCTAATAAGCTCGGGGTCCCTTTTACAGCAGAAAACCAGAGGCAAGTAAAAGAAGCAGCAGCAAACAACTGGATTACCAGCTAAGGATTCTCTTTCCTTTGTCACTGCTCATTTCCAGTCAAGTCTCCTTTTTCCCAAATCCACTGCTGATGCTGCCTCTCTTTCCCCTTATTCCTTGAATCCATGTTTAAGCCTATTACTAGCACAGTATTTCCATAGTCATAATATGACCAGTCAGAATTAACAACCCTCAGCAGGGGTGATCTAAAGCATTCACTTGTATCCATGTCCAACGGATTTGGCTAGTTCCTTGTACTTTTACACACTAGACCAGGTTGTGTTGCCTCCTTAGCTCATTTAAAGCCACTTTACTTGCTTAGTTGGCTTGCCTCACATTGTTCAAGAACAGCTTTGACTTACACTCAGCCTATTTGCATGTACATGAACCAAGACTTGTTTTATTGTCATGTTATAAATCTAGCAATATTACATAAAAGGATGATATGCCACATCCCTCATGGCAGGTTACTTTTGCAATTTCTAAATAAGTTGCTGCAAATACAATGTAGACAGATATATGCTGATTTTCAACAAAAGCTCCCTGCCCTCTTAGCTTTTATATTTAGCATTTTAGTAAGACTGGACCAGCCATGACACTAGTTTAGATCATGCTGATCATGAACCTTGATAATGCTGGTCATAGCTCAACATTAAGATTATTGCTGCTATCACACTTCTTTAATCAACAGTTGATGAGAATTACAAAGTCATTAGTTCGAAATGAAATGTCCACAGAAAGCACCAACAAAAATATATTTGCCAACATGCCATATCCTAAGTATTTTCTTACTGGCACAACACATTTAAAGATCAGTCCATGGGAAATTTTAAAGAATTACTAATGTAGATTCCAAATACTGTATGACAGCCTTCCCCAACCTAGTGCTTTCCAGAATTTTGGATTTCCGCTCCCATCAACAGAGGCAATGGTTAGGAATGCTGGAAATTGTAGTCCAAAACAACTGAAGGATGCCAGGTTTGGAGAGGTTACCCTACAAGCATGAGATCTCAGAATATCATTTATGTATCTGTAATGTCATGTAAGATTTTTGGCCAATTTAATAAAATATGTCCTTGGCCATGTTTTTGTAACAGTCATTCTGGTTATTTGCTTGGATTACTGCAAGTTGAATTTTTGGACTTATTAAAGGTTTGGGGTTTGCATGCAAACATCTATGGCTCAGGGGACAGACAGGATTATCATTTCTAAACATAATCACTGACACAAAACATTGTGCTGAAAGCACATAGATTTAGCCATATTCTGTTTCCAAAATGTTATTGCCTCTGTATATTCTTTGTGCTACCACTGGATATCAGAGATCAATGTACATTTTATAATAGGAGTTATTTAGCTGTTATTTATACCTGCATTACTTAACCTCTACTATAATGAAACATGATAGCAAATTGATTTTAAAAACCAAACCAAGCCATTAACTAAGAATGTCCATGTGTCCAAAATGGCTATAGATGTTTAGCATGTAGATGTACCTTATTAATTGAAACATGATATTATCAAAATATGTTATCAGAATGTCATGATGCTAGCATAGTATATTTGTTCTGTAAATAATGGTCTGATTTAAGTGAGTAATCTCTTTTATTTCCCTTAGTATGTCTACTGTAAAGATAAATTTGTTACTGAATGGTTGCAGGTGCAAGATCCAGAATACTTGTCCACATGTTCACATGGGCAAAAAAGAGCATCAAGGATGATGACAATGATGATACATTAAAATATGGTGCTGAAAAAAAAAGATCCATGGGAAATTGGAGTTCTCAGGGTTTTGTACATTTGCACAAAATATAATATAATATAAATGCATTGCTGAGGGAATAATTTGTTGTAAACTGTCCCAAGACACCAGTAGATGGATCGTCTATAAAGCCTCAGATGAATTAATGAATGAATAAATAATTCAGATGATCAATAAGTATTTTAAACTATGAATACCTGTTTTTGTAATAAACTGTTTGATAAAGTTTAATATAAGCATTTTGGAATGAAGTGTTAAAAATTTGCAATGTTGTCTTAATGTTTTGAAAAGCTTTTTATCACTCTTGTGTCGTTCATTTTTTTTCATAGTAGCATGGGAGTGCCTTTGCTGGCTAAGCAAAATTAAGAATTGATACCTTACCAACCCCGCAAAAAGTGTGTGTGTTTCTGTGAGCCTAGAAAGTGCTACTAATCAGAGTAGATAATATTGGGTATGATGTACTAGTGGCCAGACTTGGTATAACACAGATTAATGTGTTCAGTTGTTCCAGTTAGCTCAACCTGCCTCAAAAGTCCCATAGAGTCAGCCAGGGGTGGATCCAAGCTGCATACAGCACTTTTTAGTTAGATGCAGTTATGGAGAAGTGGTGAAGGTCTCAGAATCTGATTGGAGCAGTATTGCTGGGAAAGGGATTGTGTATGCCACATTCCCTGGCCAGTGTGGTACCATGAATAAAGTATTAGATGTGGTTCTGAGATCTAGGTTAAAATGGTCACCCATGACACTCACTACTTAGATAGCCTTGAACAATCGTCAAAACCTCCAACCAAATCTACCCCAAGCAGTTCTTGTAAGGCACTGTAGGGTAAACCCACTGAGGCCGCCTTGAGCCCTTTGGAGAAAAGTTCCATACAAGTATAGTAAATGAATACTAAAAGAACTGGGGATGGGGAGGGCAGGAGGAATTGAACATCTTTTTCACAAATACACTGTGTGGAAGGAAAGTTAAATTTGCATAAATGATGTTGTTATTATTGCTGCTACTATTTCATTTCTATACGGCCCCAGCTGTCTTTGGCAGCATATGATTTAAGGGGTGGTGGTGCAGTGGTGCCTTTTAACTATTTTAAATAAAGAACTGTGTAACATCTGCTACAACGTAAAGACAGGCTGCTTGACTGCCATCTGGAAGTGTTTGTAACAACAGTATTAATTGTAGCATATGGTATTTACTTTTTTTAAGTTAAATTTCATTTCTTAAATAAATTGATTGATTTCAGTGGAGTTATTTTTAGAACTCTAATCATATAAAAATGTAGTCAAGATTACCCTCCTCAGTTCTCACTGCTTTACTACAAAGCCCTCTGTGCAATCATGTAGGGAAAAGTAGGACAAGTTAACATAAGTACAATTATAAATGACATATTCCCAAATATCTGTTATAGCTATTGGGAGACTCCCCTTTGTTGGAACTGGACAGATCTCTTACTGATATGGCTGATTTCAGAAAGGAAGCTGGTAGGCCCAAGTCTGTCCTCTGGCTTTGGAAGGAAGGAAGGACCAAAGAAACAGGTGGAATCCAGTTTTGCAATTTGACCTTGGAAAGGAGGCATGAAGGAGAAACACTGGCAGTGGGCTGAAGGTGAGGCACATGAAACAATGCCAGTATCTGATTGTTGAGAGCCTTTGAGCACAACAGCACCAACAGGTGAGTCTGCTGCGACCAGTACTGCTACTAGCTGCAACTGCAGCCCCTTCCCCCACAGCATTATGGGCCCCGGGCAAAGCAGTGTACTGGGGCCCCTACGACAACTACAACTACTGATAATTTTGGAAGCTTTCCAATTTTCCAAGGGTTAACATGCACAGATTAGTATGGGGCCCACGGGCAATTGCCCATCAGGCCCATGCGTTAAGACGGCCCTGCTCTCTGCTGGTGTCTGGCTGTGCCTAGCCCTTGCACCGTCTCTGGCAGGAAGGTGCAGGGGCTCTCTATGAATCTGACCCAAGTGGGCAACATACTTTATGTATTGTCAACAAAATGAAGTGCTCTGTTTTCTTGTGCAAAGGAAGCAGCTCAGGAGATTCCACAAGGAACTTCTTACTGCTCCTGTACCTAGGGATAAGACCAATGTGTTGTTATGGGTTGGTTACAGATTTAGGTCTGTGTAACCAGGCTGGCAGAAGATTCCCCTGCACTTCCTTTCCCATAGCCCTCCTTTAAAAATGCTGCAAAGAATGGTGTGGGGAGTGTGCTAAATTGAGAAAGCCGTGGTGTGCAGACAGCAGGGAACACTCCCAAACTGGACAGAGGCATCATTTGTGAGCAGAGTCTCTCCCTCCCTCCCTCCCTCCCTCTCAATGGGTTTGTGGTCAATGACTTGATAAAAGTTGCTAGCTTTAGACCAGAGTTAAATTCTATGTTGGTTCAAGTTGGGAAATGCAAAGTCTAGGCTGATCCCTTAACTGTTGTGCCCCATGATCAATGAAGACATGCACTCTTGCTTTCCTTGTCCTTCAGGCTCAAATCCATAAGGGAAGGATGGAGTGCCCGAGGCCAGCAAAGATGCCCACAATGTCCTGGACCCATATTGCCTTATGGAGCCTCGGGGCCTGTTTTTTGCCAGCAGTATTCTGTGAATTGACACATGGCCACTATTTTCACGAATGGCTGGCTGGCTTGAACAGTGAGATGGATCCTTCATCTTGTAGTAAAGCGATATGCTTCTTAAGGCAATAATGCAGCAGGACAGCTTAGGGCATTCTTTTGTAACCAAGAAAAAGTGTGGATGCATGGAGAATACCTTGAAAGTACAGTTTCTCTATAGAATCAGAGAGCCAGAGAGAGAGAGAGAGCCAGAGAGGGAGATTTTATCGAATGCCAGAAAATCCAGAGCTAAAGAATGAAGGGCTCCATTGAAGGCGAGCCTGCCTACCTCAAATGTGTTCCATTGTTAAACTGGTCATAGCATTAAGATATTTCTGCCAACGTTCAACGAAAGTCTTCCTTTCTGTAACTTAACCCATTACCTGCAATCCTGTGCTTTGGAACAGCAGAGATCACAGAGTAACAGCCCATCAGGTACTTGAAGTGTGTTGTCTTGCTCTCTCTACCCCCAAGTCTTTTCTTCCAAAGGATAAACAAGCCTAGTTCCATCAGCCATTCCTCATGGGACTTGTTTCCCACATTGTGGTATGGAAAGGCTTTTCCCATAGAAGTTTTGCATAATAAGAGACTGAAAATTTTGCAGTAAATCTTAGAGAAAGAAAAAATAATGCATTGAGAACCTGAAATCAGTCTACAATGTAAAGTATCAAAAGGTCAACTACTGTAAGAGAAAGATGGTGCAATCAAGGGCTGATTAATTTTCTTTAACAAAAGGCAGAGCCCATTTAGCAGTATTTATAAGCTGTTGTAAGAAATCTCTAAAGCCTAAGAAATTGCTGGGGTGGGGAGTGTAGAAAAATCTTGCCAAATTCACATAAAAATGAGAAGATGTTCTATGTAAAGGAAGATAGGATTTAATGGCACCTTCCATTAGATAGGGCTCATCTAGGAAACGAAATGGTCTAGCTTTATGTTCATTTGGGAAGAAACCCCTTGTCAAGGGGCAGGTTTCCAGATTTGCTCTAGTGATTTTAGCTTGAACAGGTGTAAAGAAGGAACTGACAAAGGACTGCTCTAGAGGTCACCTGGGGGCTAGTCAGTGGCAGCTCGGCTGCTAGTTCTCTCTTTACAGAAAGCGCTCTTCCCCTTGTATTCATTGCAGCACGCAACACTCAAGAAAGGAGGGCCAGGGGGACCACAGCAGTGCGATCTTTGCCTCTCCTCGTGCTACTGCTTATGAACGAATCTTGCTATGTCATTTCAGATTTCAGTAAGGATGGCATCTGTACAGCAAGGTTCAAAGATCTGATTTTACATATATTCGATTGTAACCTGTAAAAAAAAAAAGCTAGGGTTTAAGAATGTTTGTTGTAGTGGTTGCTTTTTATGCCTCTGCATCAGAGACATCAGTACTCCTGAGAAAGAATTACATGTTGGAGAGATGCTAATTGGTGCTTGAGTACTGCAGTTGCTAAGGAACCTGTGCAGTTGCTGGAGATGTACAGGTGCTACGTAGCACTCTTCTGGAATTTCTATTCTCTTAACTTTTAACATATTCACGTCTTACAATTTTAATGTTCTTTTTGCTGCCCTGCGGCTTGATGGTTTAAAATTGTTATTCACTGCCATGATGGGCTTTTAGCGAATAGGGTGGTATAGAAATGTTAACCAGCAGGAAAGAAATAAATTTATTTTGGTGCTGAGCACCTGTCTAAGACAGGGTGTTAACTAGCTTTGCCAGGCCTGGGGACTGGGTGGGCATTGGCACAGATGCCTCAGAATAATCAAGGGATTGGCCTGTTTGTGGCAGAACCTCTGCCTGGATGTGGCTGCCTGATAGTTTTGTGTATAATTTATGCAACACAGGTCTCCTAGCAGGCAATAAGCTCTTCAAGACACCTTAGTTCTTGGGTTTAGAAGTGCTGAGTAATCTAAGTTCCCACAGCACAAGACCCATAGAGAAAAGAACTGTGACAATGTTACACCAGAAACCATAAAGCATGTGGTTTTGCACTACAGTACAATGTATATTCTTTTACTTATATTCTCCATAGGTTTTTTTTTTTTAAATCAAAGAGATTTACAGCACAACTATATACATTGATTGTAGTGTGGCTTATTTCTAGGTAAAAGTATAAGCATGTTTCTTCAGCTGTAAGGACTGCATGATATATTATTGGTTCATCATTGCTAGTTTCTGAAAAAAGAACATAGGTGGTGGAAGAGGTGCAAACCATGTAGGGACAATCAAAGAAAGCTGGCCAGTAGGGGGACAGAAAACATTGGTGCCTTGAAACAGTTGCCTAGAGAGAACAGTCACCAAGTCCTTAGATTCTGTAAATAAACACTTTCAAATACAACATGCTATTTATATATTAATTACACTTATATGCTGCACTGCTTAGCCAAAAGGCTCTCTGGGTGGCTTACAAAGTATGACAATAAAACACCAAATTAAAACAGTTCAATTTAAACAACAGAATAATAAAAAGTATAGATAAT